CCTAACAGTTTCAAGTCATCCATATACAACAAGTGACCTATTTTCCTTTCAGATCCATGCACCTGGTACCCACATCCAGATCTGTTTAATTCATGAGTTAGTGGAATAAGTGCTATGCAAAAAAGTAGTGGTGATAATGNCAAGAACTATGTTTTCTGCTGATTCCTGAATGAATGGAGAAATTGTAAAATGTGTTCAGAGTTTTCTAAGAGTTCATTTTCTTCGCAACTTGATTTCCACAGACAAATATTGACTCTGAATAGTATTTTCAGCCTGCTATGAAGTTTATTCCTTGTCCAGTGGTTCAGATATACTAGAAAGACTGAAGTTCCAATTTCCATTTTCATACAGCACTTAAACTTAGAGTAATGCTATGTAATGTGTAACCATTGTTTAATTTCTTTAATAACTGTATTCTTTAAAGTTTATGATGCTATATGCTTGCAATTTGTTTGTTAGGAAATTAATTCATTATCAGAGGATCAGTCAGTATAGCGTTTAAACCACGTGCCTTCTTTTAGTGAGACAAAGGCTGTTTGAGATATATTGTGATATCTTCTAGTACTTGAAATGGGATGGCTCAGTCAGTGTAGTTACATGCTGCAGACTGGATGGCTGGGGTTCAATTCTGAGCAGGAACAAGAGATTCCTCTGTTCTCTACAGCACCCAGACTGGCTCTGGGCCCACCCAGCCTCCTATCCAGTGGGTACCAGGTACTCTTTCCCCAAGGGCACAGTTGCTGGGTCATGACACTGACCACTTGGCTCCATCCAGTGATAAGGCCAAGAATGGTAGAAATATACTTCACTTCCCCATACATTTTCAGGGTGTAGGGGTTAATAAGAATCAAGAACATTCTGTCATTTTCATGTACGAGAAGAAGATATTGGGAGTATTACTTATTAGCAGCATGACTAACATGTAGATTAAACAGAATTAAATAAACATTTTATGTATTTGAGGATTAAATTATAGCAAATATTCCAATGCAAACATTACCGTTCAGAACATTCATATTTTTTTACTGTTAGCTTAAGTGGTTCTGTGGTATTCATTTTGTGCAGAGTTAAGGCTGGGAATGACAGATTTTCTTTGGAAATAGGAGCCAGGCAAATTGTTTGCCCTCTGGAGATTTACGTTGTAATGACAAAACATATACTACCACTGTCAATGGGGCATGCGGTAGCGTAGTTGGTTGAGGGGCTATGCTACAAGCCGGAAGGTCGCGGGTTCAAGTCCCGATGAGGTCATTGGATTTTTTTCAGTTGACCTAATCCTTCCAGCTGCACTAGGTCCTGGGATTTACTCAGCCTCTAACAGAAATGAATACCAGGAATTAATTAAATAATTTTCCTGGGGAGTAAAGCGCGGCCAGTGCATAAGGCTGACAACCTTACTGCCATCTTTGAGCCAGTTGTCTAGATAGTGTGGGACCCTCAACATCTCACAACCCTATGGCCCTTCACGGCCTGGTACAGGGATAGCTTTGCTCTGTTCTTGTCCAAGAGGAACTGGCAAGGCATGTGACAGTCCAAACCTTTTAAAACTCTTCAATGGACGCTGTGTTCCTCTTTAGCCATTTCAATAGAGTGACTGACTTATTGGGGAGACCGATGCATTAGCTTGTAATGACTTGCTTTTCACATTTGGACAGGAACAACTGCCTTGTTTTGTTACCTGCAGCTTGGGTGACCGGAAGGGTCGAGGCCTTTGCTTCCACCATTCCATTTTTGGTCTTTTATGGCTATGAACATGCCTTCTAAGTTTTAAAGTTGAAGTACCATTGATCTACAGCCTTTTGTTTTCCATCCCATACATGTAGCCAAGGTAGTAGCTTCTGGGACCAATAGTGTGTTATTGGCTTTCAGACATTGCTGGTGCTGGAATGACCTAATCATGCTTTTTGAATGTCTCCAGTGTGGAAATCCCCACAAAATCTTTTACTGTCTGTTAATTTTGATCTGAGATACTGTGAAATGAGGCATGTATCTTACAACTTTCTGCTCCTGTGTTTTGATTGAATGTCAGCCAAGTAAGTTTCTTGGACGTGTCTTCCTTAAATTTCCTTTTCCTTGATGTTGGAGGAGTGTATATTGAAGTTGATTTCTGCCAACACACTTGCTTATTGCGCTCCAGTTTCACTTGTGGATGACAGGCCAACAGAGAATGTTTGTATATTTCAATTTTGCAGTATGTTACGAACAGAAACAGAGCTTCAGAATCAGATGACTTTGTGTTGAATACAACGCTAAACATGTAAAACTGGACCTATCCACTCCCCCACATGCCTTCATGGCGTAGTGCTTAATTAGTTAAGCACAGGGAAAACTTTACCTTTACCTTTACCTTTAACCTTTAGCCTATGTGTGTTAGATATATCTAACAGCAAGTAAGTCCATGGCCAAATGTTAAATTTATATAACGTAGTGCAGTACACTTGCACTCTTTGAGAGTGCTGACAGTTTGATCGTCAGGTTGAAACCACAACAGACCCACACAAGGTCAAGTCAGTGGTTCATTCGTTAGCTCTGAACAATAAAAATCGCTTATCATGGTACTGGTTTCAATATTATTTACGTTAAGATGTGACTGTTTATGACCTGGTCAGCCAAATAGAGCACAGCTTTGTTCTGAGAACTGAGAAGTAAATATTCATCTTAGCATGCAGATTAGTGCTATTTGAGCTTGCAAGGAAATGGGTAGTTTTCAAGGATTTGTTTTCAGTAATGAATTATCAGTCAGAACATCAGTCTCTCTTATTTATTTATAGAACATTTTTATTTTGCGTCTCGATAGACATATAAAGCCATTGAAGATAACGGTGCACATAAAGGCTTTGTGGATAAATCTGACAGGGTGGTAAATAGTTATGGAATAGCTCGGAGGACATGCAAATCGACTAATAAATTGTTTTCCCCCTTCTAGACATGACTATTCGCAGTGCCTATTTATTGCACAAGTCATGTGGTGGAGAAATGACACATACAAAATCCGCAAAATCCTAGTGCGAGATTTGACTGTACAGTCACATGAGGCGAATATCACGGTCAGTGGCGTTTCTCAGGGGAGGCCAAATTTATCTGGGGTCTAACTGAGATGACTAAAGGTGAAACATTCGCAACACTGGCTATCAAAAGGGAAACAAAATGTTGTCATGTGTGTTAGCTAATAAGAAAACCAGGAGCACCCTCTTCTGTTGTAAAAGGTGTGATGTTGCTCTGTGTGTCGAGGACTGTGTTTGGAAGTGGCACGTCAGAGAGAGCACTGTATGAAGTTATCATAATCTGTGAAGTGACGCAGTTCATACTGGTGTATAGTCTGAACAAAAGATTGTTGTATATAGTGTGATTATTTTTATGAAATCAATATGTGTGAAGTTTCAAGAAAAAACTACAGGCAAGTACTTTAGAATTTCATAATATAAATAATAAAGATTATATTTTGCATTTCACAACAAAATAATCCCAGTATATTTTTATTTGTAAAAATTGCTCTTTTGTGTATATGTAGAAAATTTAGTTCTTTTTCAGGCTGTTTTTAGCTTGTGTTTCTATGTTACATAGAACGGAAAGTACGTACTTTTTCTGCAACTTTAAAGACTTAGGGCCATTTAAATTCCTGCTGCAGCAGGCTCCCAACAATTTAAAAGTCCGTACTCTAAAGGTTAATCATGCAAATGACAGTACTGCTAAACAAGAAACAAGCTACATGCAGCAACTGATCACTGTAATATAATTACATACTCATTTCATTTTTACTCTTGGCTCACAAGTAATATAAAATCCGAAAAGTCAGAGTGTGGGTTTTAAATACAAAACTCAACCTGTTTAGTGGCAGAAAAGACAGTATTGTTAATAGCCATTATCAGCTCTTCCTCAACAAACATGTTGTGCCTTCCACAGTTACTGCGAGTATTATATAATTACATGCTTCAAACATTTGCTAAATAAATATTGTTGAAGAGGAATTTTAACACTAAAACAGAAAATTTAAAATAACTGCTCCCCAATGTCTTAGGCACCATGGTGGTCTGGAACCCTGAATTAAGGTATTAAATGATTTGTACTTATAACCTTTTGAAATAGACAGTTACATGCAAAATCAAAGTGAGATTATATGTAGGTCTTCCAGAAATTAAAGACTACTTTGGTGTTTAAAAAAATAAATTAATAAAATTAAAAAATTGATTTTACATCATTACTGCATACCTTAAATCATTTTGCCATATAATCCTCATGAAGATTCTGGCACTTATATTGTGTGACACATTTCTATCTGCCTCCATAGTAGAAATCTGCCGCCAATCCATCGAATCGGTCTTTAACCATCTTCACTTTTTCATTGCTACCTATGCACATGCCACCCAAAAACTGCTTCCAGTCTGTGAACAAGTGAAAATCACTTGGATCCAGGTCTGGACTGTAAGGAGAATGGTAAAAAATGTCCCAGGTAAAGTCAGCAAGTAGTGCATATGTGCTAGCGGTCTTTGCTTTCTGAACAACCCTCATGTAGGATTCAGGCACCATTCATTGGTGGTGTAAATTCATTATGGTAATCCACATTTTATTCTCTCAAAGCCTAGACAAAAATAAAATGTAAGGAATAATTTTAATAAGGACCACAAAATGACGTTTTAGTAAACTTATCAGGTATTACTGTCTTGAAAAGTTTTCATATCCATAAAAGAATTCTCTTTGGAACTTGCATATGCATTTTGCCTTTGTGTAGACATGTTTGTTCCTGTTGCACACAATTTGTGTGTTTTAATTGACAAAGTTGTGCCCATATGGGATTCAAATTACATCAGCTGCTGTAATGGTGGTTCTTCAGTGAATTAGAGCTAAATAGAAAATATTTAAATCAAATGTAGAGAAATGTTTATTCCTCTATGTGTATTGGCACTTTGTGATTTATTATTCATACCATGTTTGTGTGAAGGTTAGTCAGAAATGTGAAGCAGTCACATATTTTAACTTCTTTTCTCTTTCCTTTTCTTTAGGATGTGGCTAAGGAAGCTTGGGACAATTACAGAAAGAGGAATGACTCCGTTATAGTCGACTTTTTTCATGGTTTACTGAAGTCCACAGTCGTGTGCCCCGACTGTAGCAAAGTTTCAGTCACATTTGATCCATTTTGCTACCTATCTCTCCCTTTACCTACAAAAAAAGAACGAGCTTTAGAAGTAAGTGTTTTGCTATTGATTATGATCTGGTATATAAAATATTAATTAGTTTTATACAGGTAATAGAAAGTCTATGTGTGCATGATAATGAAAACTGCTTTGGCTGAGATGTCAAGTGTCAAATTTGAAAATGTGTTGTATTAATAGAGTATTTGCACTGAAATTCACCATTATGCTGACAGAGTTGTGTTACAGACACAGCAGTAGAAATTGCTGATCCTCAGTGTTCCTGTTAGTCAAGTGGTTATTGAAGCTGTATAATTTCTGCTTCAGTCACATGTTCCATGAAATTTTACATAGTTCTCTAGTAACACAACATTTCATCATATGGAAACAAGTTTTAAACTGATCGCTGTGGAGGGCACCGTTTGTGTTTCATAACATTAATGTTTATGACATCTGTGATATTTTGGGTTAAAATTAGTGACATAACTGCAGGGCTAAAATATCATAAACAGCACTGAAAGAAGCTGGGAAGACCTGAATCAAGCCACTGTCTGTACTCACAAAACATGTTTTCATCAGCTATATTTTTTGTCATATGTCTTATTGAGTTGTTATAATATCCCAAAATGTTTCTCTGCTAAAATTATATGTTGTGATGAAACGATATCATTACGTCTGTATGTGCCAATTACATTTACCACAGTCTGAGAGTATGAGATGACATGTTAGGCCTATGCTCCTGGTAGAAGAAGTTATTTATGTGATATTTTTTGCTTTGTAATTTTTTTATGGTGAATTCCACGGTTTTATCTTGAGTTCCCATATTTTGCAGTGTATTAAATAGTGTAAACACATCATGCTTCTGACAGTTCATTGTAAAAGTAAGGTTGTCCCTGTCTGTAACTAATTAAGCACTATGCCATGAAGGGGTAGGGGGGAGTGGATGTATATATCCACATTTTCTTGACCTCAGCTCTAGTTGGAGGTGAGTGGTCAGCTTCATGCCCTGGCCACTTTACCCCTGGGGAAAGAGCCCCCAGTAACCATTGGATAGGAGGTTGGGTGGACCCCAGAGCCAGTCTGGAGGGCGTGAGAAAAGAAAATTCAGTACCCTACAGGGACTAGAAGTTCAACCCCTCATTCGTCTAGCCTGTAGCCAGTTGCTGTCCTGACAACACTATCCTGACTCCTCTGATGGTTCATTGTATGAGCATAAAGTATCATGAAATTTATGAGAAAATTTGCCTTGAAGCTTCTTAAAAATTAATTTGTCTTTTCACGGAAGTATTTTGTATCGGTCCTCTGAATTCATTCTATTTGACTAATGAACATGATGTAATATTGTGAAGTAATGTATATGTGCCATTTTTAGTATGAAAATTTTTAATCACAATTGTTGCAGATGTTTCCCTTTGAGTAAATCCCAGTATATCATTTATAAAAGAGAAATAATGATGTTTCTTTCTCCCCCTGCCCCCCATTTGATTTAGCAGCATCTGATGCATATTTGCTTGGATTCATGTTATGCCAGTAAAAATGAGAGTATGACAAGAGCCTTCTCATTCCTCTTTCATATGCGCATGCATGCGTATGTTCATACAGGGTGTCCCAGGAGGAATGTGCCAAACTTCGGGAGGGTGTTCCTTATGTTAAAGTATGCTGATATAACCCAAAACACCTATGTCCAAAGTTGAATGGTTACGGAGATAATGGCCAGAGAAGTGTGAAACTTTGACCGGTGTTACACACTTGTTGATTACAAAATACATATTAAAACTGGCAGGAATATGTGGTTTCTGTAATGTTAATAATGTACGTAACATCAAACTAACTTGTGAGTGACATGATGCCATAAAATTGAAGTACAAGATACTCACTTGCCATGTCATAATTGTCCCTAGGTTTCCAAGCACTATACATGACACTGGCAACCGCTGACGTAACATGGCTGACTGAGCATTCTGGTATAAGCCGACTACATAACTGTATTAAACGTATATTCACGGAAAATCTCTTCTAATTTCGTTTCCATTATCTCGTGGATTATTATGGGACCACGTATGCACATTTCGTAAATTATTTACACTGTCCAGGGTAAAAGACGCCTCATCGCTGAATACAGTGACGCTTAACAGTTCGGGATGAGCTTTTATCCAGTGGCACAAATCCATACGCTGTGCATGGTCGCCTGGTTCCAGATGTTGTACCCTTTGATCATGGTAAGGATACAACTCTTCATCATGTAAAGTTCGCCACACCTGCATACGTGATACGCCGATGCGAGAGGCCATTCTGCAAGTGGACAGACGCGGACTTCTCTGAACCATCTCAACAATGTTCTCTCGTGTGTATGTCATTCATACATCCTACCTTTCAGAGTGCACAGAAACACTCGGAAGAGAACCAGTATCACACAATGTCTGGTGAATTCGTGTAAATACACTTCGATGGGGAAAATGCCTTTGGTATTCATCAGCAGCACGTGCATTGCCACCGCAAAATCCACACACAAAATGCATATCACAGTATTCCACGTGTGAAAACACAAAAGGCATTTCAGCAACTCCGCACAACTAATTACCAACCATTCACGACCTGGCCGCAACATACTCTGTAGGTAGTGCATGAGCTTACGGCTAGTGTGAATCACCACACTCAAGGACAAACATAGGTAAGACATCTCAGCTGACAGGTACAGTGCATGGACCCGCCAGAAGACTACACTTTTCTGGGTCCATTATCTCTGTAACCGTTCAACTTTGGACATAGGTGTTTTGGGTTATATCGGCACACTTTAACATAAGGAACACCCTCCCAAAGTTTGGCACATTCCTCCTGGGACACCCTGTATAGGTACAGTTCCAGTGAATAAATATGCCATCCAGCATTTCCAGAGGCATTGTTACACCTCTCAAACCATCAGATGTGTTGCACCTAGTCACACACAGACTTCATTCTCTGTTGTATTGATATATATCTTATTTATTTGTTACATAGGTACTCCTGTTCCATTGTGATGCTGCTCAGAAGCCTACCCGCTACACAGTAATTGTGCCAAAAAAAGGCTTAATCAGAGACTTAGTTACTAATGTTGGGCGATTAAGCAGCATCCATCCCGATAATTTAATTGTAACTGAAGTAACAAGAAGTCACTTCCACAAATTCTATACCAACAAAGATGCCCTGGAAAAAATTGATGACAAAGATGTAATTTACATGTAAGTGCATTAGTATAAGCTGTGTTCTTTTGTGCCTTTATGGACTTCTGGACAGTGGTTTAAATGCCTGTGATGTTCATTGTCTTTGTGCCGTGTACCACTTCATTAGGAATCAATATAAATGCAACAGTCTCAGAAATGTTGGTCCATTCAGCTGGAGCAGTGTTTCCTATCACTTGTCATTCTGCACTGGCCAAATTGATTTTCTTAAAAAAGAATATTTAGCTTATATTGAAGATATTGTAACATGTTTAGTTACTGAAGACGCCGCTCAGATTGTTAACTGGTTTATTTAATAACCTACAAGTATCGGCTACAATTAATTACAACACTGTTGCAGGTTTCCACAGTTTACAAACCCTATACACTAATCAATTCACTCTGTCCTCAGTAATCTACACGTATAATTATGATACGGGAGCTATACACTGTAGCACTGTAGCACACACTCCCAATTATTACTCATTTATCACAAACTATCACTGATTATCACACACACATGTCTGGTTCTTTCTTCTGCGACGGCTGCTATATTCCATCTCAACTCTAATGGCTCACTGCTGGCTAGATTCCAACTCAACTCGTAGGCTGCTGCCTTGAGAACTCGTTCACTGCTGACTTGAGAACTGTCTTCGGCGGCTGTGTAGTTCCCTTATAAACCCTCAGCTGGACAACGGGAAAACAGTTACGTAATAGGCACCATTGTTGTCTGACGCCATGTTTACAGCGGCGTTGCGTGCCATGTCACAGTGCGGGGGGGGGGGCAGAGCGCTGACTCACCCACCACATCACCGTGGCCAGAGCTGCCACGTCACTGCTGGGAAGGTAAGGGGTGTCCTCCATTGCGCAACACATCACACTATGATAAAATTTGCCTTACACTCTAGACTCATAATGGTAAATAGAAATTTTAATAATTTAACTTGTCTCATTTTGGTCTGTCACACTATTAATTACAGAGTAGATAATGAAAAGTTCAGTCCAGTGTGACATTCGAGTTTACAACACTTCAGTCCTCATTCGCCTTACATGTTTCGATTCACCACTATGAGAACATTAGTCATATCTAAAGTGCATATTGTAAGATTTGAGGCTTTCACGGCGGTGACTATGAAGAAAGCAGTCTTCTGGGATTTGGCACCGTGTATATGTGGTGTTAACCGACGTTTCGGAGGAACGTATCGCCCCCATCTTCAGGGTTGAAGAAGTATAAGTAAATCTGCAAGCGACAACACCGTGAGACACGGTCAAGCAGACTNCCAAATCCCAGAAGACTGCTTTCTTCAAAGTGCATATTGTTAAAATATCTTATGTGAGAGTGTTTTCTTATCGTAGTGGTGCACCTCTGAGGATGATTCTTTTGAATCGAAACATGTAAGGCGAATGAAGACTGAAGTGTTGTAAACTCGTATGTCACACTGGACTGAACTTTTCATTATCTACTCAGAAATTTTAATATTAATAAAATTCCTATTACTTAAGTTTCTCAGGGATAGTATTGCAAGAAGGTAATATTGTCCATCTTTTTTTACTTAAATAATTTAAATAATTCAAGTAATTTAAGTTTTATAATGGCATACATTCAGTTATCAACCTGTTCCACTGAAAATATTTGAGGTAAAATTACCCACTTTGGAAGTATTTATTTAAATGAATGAAATTTATATTCAGCATATGTATGTTTGAAGACTGCCTATGTGGTCTAGTGGTCAGGGTTCCTGGCTACAGATCCAGAGGTCCCAGGTTCGATTCCCGGCGCTACCAGTTTTCTTGAGAAGTAATGGGTCTGAAATGGGGTTCACTCAGCCTCATGAAGATAACTGAGGTGCTATTTCAAGGATATAGCGGCTCTGGCATAGAAAACCGAGATTAACAGCTGTGGGGATTTGTTGCACTGACCACGCCACACCCTCTATCCACTAAAGTTGGCACTAACTTCACTGACAAGCGACAGTCACTCGGTCGGTATAGTTCGCTTGCGGACTACAGGCCACAGAGTTATGTATGTTTGAAAATTGATTCAATTAAATCTTAGTACCAACATGAAAGTTTCATTTGGATGGCTTACTGTCCCTAACTAGAAAGTGATACAGGATGTATGTACTATAAATTTTCTTTTGGCCTTTATCGATATGTTGAGTGCAACCGTTTCTATAGGACATACTTTGCTTTGCAGCTATGAGATGCCTGTTCAGAATGATACCCATGTAATTTTACCGGTGTGTCTATGGGAATCTTCACCAAAACTTGGGTTTTCCCATGAACAGTTGTTTGGTGATCCTCTATTGATAGCAGCACCAAGAAAAGGTTGCACGTATGATGTATTATATCAGCTAGTGCTTCACAAATTACAACGCTGTCTTCGCATGCCAGATGACAATAGTTCATGGTGGAATACAAAAACCAGAAGAATTCTTAATGGCGGTAAATATTGTTTGCATATCATTCAGATTTGAATTTTCATAAAATATTTGAAGAAAGCAGTCTTCTGGGATGTGGCACCGTGTAGATGTGGTGTTAACCAACGTTTCGGAGGAATGTATCGCCTCCATCTTCAGGGTAGAAGGAAAAATAAGAAATCTGTGAGAAGAGACCGTGAGAACCGATACAAGCAGAACGCTTATTTTTCCTTCTACCCTGAAGATGGAGGCGATACGTTCCTCTGAAACGTCGGTTAACACCACATCTACATGGTGCCACATCCCAGAAGACTGCTTTCTTAATAGTCACCGCCATGAAAACCTCACATCTTTCATAAAATATTTGTTCTCTTTAAAGTGTGTCATCAGTTGTTCCTCCCAGGCTCTTCTTGTTAAAATAATATTTCTTTCTTCCATGTTATTCCTGGTTTTCTTTTTTCTTTCTTGTGGGAAATTATACCCATTACCTGACATTTAAGGTTCTCATGGTAGTGACTAAAGTTTACTGTCTTCTACAATGTGATGTTGAATAGTTCAGTAGATGAGTACCAACATTTTTGAGGAGCTCTTAGCCTCCATTTTCAGGATACCCTAAAGAGGTAGCAAGTTCATCCAGAACCTAGATCCTACTTAATTAACTGCATGGCTTCACATCCAATAATACTGCAGTCTTAAGGATACCCTGAAGAAGCAGCAGGTTCCTCTGAAAGGTCAGTACCTACAATTATATATGGTGTCACATGGTAGAAGACGGCATGATTCAGGGTACTCTGAAAAGGCAGCAAATTCTTCTGAAATGTTGACACCTGCCTACCAAATTACAGATTACATAACATCAGATCCCAGAAGACAGTAAGCTCAATATCATTCATGTTATCAAACCAAATTGTTGTTGAATGGATCTGCTGATATACCAGAATATTGATGACATAGTAGAAGAACGGGAAAAAGTTTGCTCATATAATTATTTTTCTTCTCCCCTCCCCCTTGCTATACAGATTTGACATTGAGTGAAGATTTGCCATCTGATGAGAATGATAGAAGCTGCAGCGACAGCAGTGATTGCAATGGGGAACTTATTCAGAGACGCTTGTTCAGCTTCTATTTGGTCACAAGTGGTGCTGATTGCAGCCAGGATATAGTAAAGATCCATAATGATGGAAATCCACTTCCTTTTCCAAGTAAGTCGCTGTGGCATGGTACAGTTGAATAATTAAATCTGACGGAGAATCCTTGAGAAGCTATATTCACAAGAGCCCATGACCAGTTATCACTGTCCTGAGCCAGATGAATCAAGACCATGTCAACACACCTTATCTTACTTCTTTTGGCTTATTTTGGACTTCATCCATCGTCTAGTATGTAAAAGACAAAAGACGACATTTCGGAGACTGGATCTGTCTCCGTCTTCAGGTGGGTAGGGAAGGATAAACCTACTCAGTTGGGCCCATTAGAAAGAGCTAGTCTCAATCACTGGACCAAGTCCAAAATAAGCCAGAAGAAGTACAGTATACACCATCATCAGAATCCTTTCAAGTCTACACCTTATCTTTTAAATACTTTTTGATATTCTGCCATTTATGTATGTATCTCCCATATTGTCTCATTGCTTCAGGTTTGCTAAATAAAATTTTGAGTCCATTTATTATCTTCCATGCTGTATGCATGTCCCATCTCATTCTTCATGATTTGATTACCTTAATATTTGAGGAAGAAACCAAAACATGAAGCTCCTCATTATGTAATTTTCTTCATCTCCCTGTTACTAAATGAAGTAAACAAGTAGTGTAATTTGTGTAGGTGTGGTATCACTCGACTGATATGCCATATGTTGTTAATCATCATAAATATGCATGCTGTCTAAGAGTGTTTCCGTGATACACTTTACAGCCTCTTGTTTCTGAACTGAAATATACTGGCCAAATTCTAATTTTGTAAGTGCTATAAATGATTTGAAATTCTTTTTTGCAACAATGATATTTGCAATATGGCACACATTTTACTTTTGTGTGGCCCTTGAAATGAGCATTGTAATTCAATTTAGTAAAATCTTTGGACATGGCATTTTCAATTTCAATTAGAATTCTTGTATAGGTGCTCCCAGTGTCCTCTGGTCATCTCTTATGATGAACCTTTGAACCATTGTCACAGTTACAACCATCCAGACTTCTCACATAATTCACTGAAGCCTAAAAAGAGGCATGAGAAGTTTACACTTCAAAAATTTTACTCACCATGAAAGATTGATGTGAAATAATTGAGATTGTAGTTTAGAATATGAAGCTGTTCTGTGATACTGAAATTTTAAAGAGCAGATGTTAATGTTCAGTACACCATTTTGAAACTACCAGAACAATAAAAGTAGGAAGACTACAGTTATCTGAGTCAGCTTGTGCCATCAGAGAGAATGTCTTTCAGAAAATGTATATTCAGCTGTGATTTGCTGAACTGTGCAATATCAGATCTTTGAGTATGATAGAAATTAAAATTGCATTTGTAAAGAAACTGAGCAAATTAAATTTGTGGAATGCTTCTGTCATTCAGTTGAGACACTTGTTCTCCCATGTGATATCTAAAACCATAAAAACTGAGGTATACAGAATAATAATTTGGCCTGTTTTGTATTAGTGTGGAACCTGGTCTCTCACATCAAAGGAGTATTCTGAACAGAGTACTGAAGAAAGTATTTGTACTTGAAGCAACAGGAGGCTGGAGAGAGTTGCTAAATGAGGACCTTCACAATTTTATACCCCTCACCAAATACTGTCAGGGTGATCAGATCAAAGAGGATGAGATGTTTGGGGCATGGAAATGGCATGGGAGAAAGGAGGAATGCATACAAAGTTTTTGTCAGGAAATCAGAAGAAGAAATTATAGGAAGTTCTAGGCATAGACGGGATGATAATATTAGAGTCAGAGATAATCATGAAAATTTTGCTTCTCTGCTTTGTTGATTTCATGTGGAATGACCCTTAAATTTATATGAAGAATGCAGTTTAGAAGGTTTACTTATTGGATTGCATCAAGTTTCAGAAACTTTCTTCTCGCTTTGTGAACCAATTTATGAACAAATACATTTATTAAAGAAGTTTTATATTTTATTTATTTACAAAAGTACCAGTTTTGAATATTGTTCTGATTTCTCATGAAAAAGTAGCCATTATTTGTTGAATTCTTGAGCTTTAGAACATATGGGGCAGTCATTCATTGCTGCAAAATGGGTGCCAAGAGACCGTGATCAAGTCTTCTATGACCAATCACTGGAAGACATCAAGGATGATCAGTCAACAAAGAGCAACCTTCAGACACTTAAATTAAAAGACTGCATTGAGCTTTACACTACACGGGAAAAGCTTGGAGCTGATGATGCCTGGTAAGATCACACAGTTTTTAAATTACCTGCATTTCTTTATGAAGCCTGTTCTTGAACATTCAAGACATCTCCCTAAGCAAGAGCACACGTGAAACTGTGCTCTTAAGGTGCCCATACACGTACGAATCTGGCTCGCAAGTCTGGCTCTGCAAGCTTGACTTGGTAGCTGGGCTCAGATATATTTCACCACACATGCATGAGCGGACTCCCAACTTTGATTGTACATTTCAGTATCCAGAATGAATTCATCAAAGCAAGTTGCAGCAGCGGTGATAATACTTTTTTCTTAAAAAAACAGAAGTCAGCTTCAGGTATTTTCTCTCTTGTGAACTGCACAAGTAAATCCCGGGCCTCATCCCACTTTGCCTTGCTCGAATAATCTGCACTGCAAACCTGCCACAGAACCGGCAATTCACGGTACTCTTCTAAAAACTTTGTCAAAAAATCAGGGCTCGTGAATGTTTTAGACATGAAAGTCGACATAGTTCCAACTCACACTATCTGTTCATGTGGCCTTGTGGATACATGAGACTGGCTCGGGACCATCCACACACGTATGAGCCAAAGGTGAGCTGAGCCCCACCGAAGGCCCTGGCAAGCCCAGCCAGACTCAGCCAAGCCCGGCTCATGGTGCCCTGCAGCCAGACAAGTTTAGCTTATTAGAACCCGAGCTGAGCCGGACCCGCGAGCCAGACTCGTACATATATGAGCACCTTTATACTGACATGGCATGCCCTTGGGAACACTCCATATTTATCTTTTACCCATTAACTCACTGTTGTAGAATTAGATTTGTATATTCTTGACTTATATCCACAAACCAGAAATAAGTATAGGGTTAGCTGTGTGGAGGATTGCAGGGATCAACTCAGAAAGGATGTTACAGATTTGTGTAAATTATATAAATTATATGATTATCCATTACATCATTCTTCTCCTTATTCAGCTGATTGACCTCTTCTGGATATTGCCAGTGCAGTACTGAAATACCACGCAACAAGAACTATTGCTTCATTTCAACACAGTAATTTCTTCTTTTGTATAGGTATTGCCCAACATGCAAGAAACATCAGCAAGCCACAAAGAAATTTGATTTATGGTGTCTACCTCGAATTCTAATCATCCACTTGAAGAGGTTTGTTTACAATAGATACCATCGAGATAAAGTTGACCGAATGGTTCAGTACCCTGTACGAGGCCTCAATATGTCAGATTATGTAATAAACAAGAGTCATCTACAAGCTGTGTATGACCTGATAGGAGTATGCAATCATTATGGAGGCCTGGGAGGCGGTCACTGTAAGTATGTTTTTCATTCCTGTAACCCTAAAATGGAAACAGGAAACCAGGGTCAAATTGTGTGAGAACTTTGTTGTGTGTACTGGTTTTTCATTCCATGTCAAATTAACACACTGAAATAAAATTTCAACCTTGTCTTCTAAGATTGCAATGAAGTTTGGTGTATGTGCTGTTACACACCCGAACTGAATGCATGCAAAATGTTAGTCATGTATTTGAAATGTTATATTAAAATTATTGCCATTTCAAAGTTTCAAGTAACTCTGAAATTGTACTCATGATCATGAATTTTGTCATAACTTTGGTTCTGCTTTGACAGAGAGCTAACTTGGGGTTATTTAAAGCTTGTAAAACAAGCTTTAAAAGGGTCATGTTACCACTAGACTGATCTATACTGATCACAGCAGCCGCACAGTCTAAGGCATGAATCATCTTCACCTGCTTGAACACTGGGATTGTGGGTTCAGATCCCACTTGAGGCATGGATGGATGTGTGTATAGGTAGCAGCCTTGCTGTGGGCTGATCCCCTGTCCAAGGAGTCCTACATGCTGTGTATAGATCAAGAAACAGAAAAAGTGGCTAAGGCCCACAAGGGCTGTAGAGCCATAGATAGATGTTACCGCTGCATTAGTACAGAAAAGAGTTCAAGGTCACTAAAGATGTTTGTGATCTTAAATTTTTAAAGAGACTACAATTTCAAAATTCTAAAAAATAAGTTATATATCAGTACTTGCTTAACATACATTCTAAGTTTGGAGGTAGAATTATCAATATATTAAGAGGTACTAAGTTTTTTCTAGTGTGTGGTGCTAATGTGCAGGGGCACTGTGGTACAAGCCAGAAGGTCATGGGTTCAATTCCTGATGAGGTCATTGGGTTTTTCAATTGACCTAATTCATCCAGCTGCATTATGGCCCTGGGGTCAACTCAGCCCCTAGCAGGAATGAGTACCAGGGATCTTCCTGGGGGTTAAGTGTGGCCAGCCATTGCATAAGGCTGACAACCTCTCTGTCATGTGAGCCAATTATCTAGAAAGCGTGGTAGCCTCAACATTTCAATAATAAGGGCCTCCACAGCCTGTTATAGGGACAGCTTTACTCTTCTAGACTTAACTTTAGCTTTTTATTGTAGTAAATTTTTAGAAGAAAATACATGTAGTTAAGTAGTATGAGAGAAAAGCCTATCTACTTGTGAAAGAAGGGTTTTTTTGTTTTGTCATTCTTCTCAGCACTGAGAATTGAATTCTTCTTGCAGCCATTCAGGAGTCAACTTTTATTAGAATGTCTTGGCTAGGAACTTGCAGCTGTCCATTCTTGTAGGACATATGAATGACAGTGATGGCCCATTAGGGTGCACTGTCTGTGTTTCTCAGCTTTAATGTGTGATATAATAATACATATTCATTGTTAATAATGAAAAGTTAGAGGAACATTTATTCGCTGTCATGTAATAGATTTATTCCTTCTGAATCAGAATCAGACTTGAATAGGTTGCTGGAAGTTTCATCCTGTGTGGCATTTATAACACATGGTTTCCCTATGTTATCAGTAAGGTCATCCAGTTTCCACATCTTTTGCTTTTCCTAGATGACAAGATAAATAGCATTGTGTCAGCTCTCAGCAGTAATCTCCCCTAGCCCTGCTTCTACCAGCCAGTGTCTCCCAAAGTTTGAAGTTCCTGTTTTCTCTAACCACATATCCATTCAGCTGACTGACTCCACAGTGACTGGATGTCATTCAAGCTACAGTGATAGACTGGCAGTCTTGCAACATTGTGGCCCCCTTCCTTCACATGTTGGTCTACAATTTACATTTCAGTCCAACCATCACAGGTGTTTTCCAACCACAGAAGTTATATGGATACCAGGGAAAAAAGGTTTCAGAACACCAATCCAAATTGCATCCTGAGAAAGAACTTCTGTAACATCATTCCAGCATATTCCATAAAAGAATATTCCTGCTTGCGTGTATAGGAAGCAAGTATGGCCTTGTTGCTTGTATTCAGTCTGTCATTAGATAATGTGGTAGTTCTCTTCATTGACTTTATGGCATTGTATGTTGTAGCAATTCCTGTTGTGAAATCATATTTCTTTGTCTTTTTTAGATACTGCATTTTGTCAGAATCAGAGTGATCACAAATGGTACTTATTTGATGACAACTGTGTATCTGAAATTAAGGAACAAGCTGTTGTGGTGAGTGCAAGAATCCTTTTCTTGTAGAGTTATATTTGCATTACAACTTTTTTGCATCTTTCTTATTATAAGTCTCCCATGCAAATGCTGAACATATATTGTGTAATACATATATTTGTTCAGTAGTTGCATTTTATTGTGAAGGTTTGAGCTGTTCTGTAAGAGTCACATGCCTGATTTTATTTTCATCATGCTCATCTGAACCGTTATTTACCCGGACTGTAACCAGTCCGAAATTTCAGGAGAGGGAAAGGGGGAGGAGTTCATTCACTTGTTGTGTGAGAAATACACGCACAAATCGAGAGCTATGCTGACTGAGTTTAACAATTACAATAATATAATAACGAAATAAATATACATTTAACAATAATAAAGGAAATAAAACATATTATATAAATACAAGAAATGATATTACAAGAAATCTAGCATGACCCACTCCGGTCATTCAAGCCAATACCTTTCTCATGGGGCACCGCCCATTTAATTTCACAAACCAAGGAAAGAGAAAAAAAAATAATAATACTCACATTTGTATATATACTCACAGGGTACCCATACGTATATATTTATATAACACACCTTTGCCTCACCATTGCTCAATAGATCGGCAAAGGGGCCCTCTCCCGGGACACACAGCACTGACTTCCAAAAATAAATCTAATTTTGAAAAAGAAAAGAAACCAAACAGAAATTTCTAAGAGCAGGGACAACCACCCTGCATGACCGACACCCAGGGAAAGAGAGCGATCGTTCGTGTCATCTTGCCATGACAAGAGGAGGAGGAAGGAAAAAAAAAGAGAGGGGAGGGTCACGTGACATCATTGAAAAGAACTTTACAAGAAATATATGAGCATTGGCTGTGGTTGACTGCAATTCCACGACGCCTTTCACGGGGCGAACCCTTTGAATTGTCTTCAGACGGTTCAGGATCTCCNACATCTACGATGGACAGCACACTCTCCGACCGCCCCGGGCCCTAGAGAAGTCGGAGGTACATAGCAGCTTCTGAGTAGAGCCACCAGCATCCGCAGCCAATTAAGGAAGGAAAGAAGGGAAAGATGGCATAGTCTAAAACACACCAAAAAAACTTAGAGACACAGCGCACAGTCCCAAGAGCTAGACCACAAGAAACTCCAAGACAATTACATGATAATATTTAAGCTTCAGCCACCGGTTCTAACCATCTGCAAAATACCTTTTAAGCTGGGAAACATGAGCCTTCGCTAATATTGCTCCCGTGTCGGGATTTGCCAATTGAACCGTAACAGGCGTCAAAAACCTTACAATAACATACGGACCAGACCACTTAATAGCTATTTTGGCTGATTGTTGTAAAACCTTAGAGCTCTGGGGGTGTCGTTTTACTAGGACTAACTCTCCAGGGCGAAACACAACCTCACTCCTCAACGCATTATAACGTCTGGCAACCCTATCCCGGGCTCGCTTTAAGTTAGTCAGAGCCCTTCCCCAGAATTCCTTTGTGTCCTGAGGGGACTGCTGTAAATCTAATTCAGACAACTCCCATCTTAACCCCAATGGATGGTTCAACTCCCGTCCTAGGAATAGGAGAGCTGGGGTCGCACCCGTACTCTCGTGCCAGGCGGTGTTAAACGCCACAGCGAGAGTCGGTAAATTTTCATCCCAGCGGGTATGTTGGGAGTGATGGAAGATAGTCAGGGCTGCCTTCAGATTACGATTAAAGCGTTCTACCTGCGAAGCCTGGGGGTAATAAGGTGAAATAGTGACATGTTTTATCCCCCAGGAAAAGCAGGTATTGTAGAACAATCGGGAGCGAAAAACCGTGGCATTGTCCGAAACAATACAATTAGGAATCCCAAAACAAGGGAAATATTTCCCCACCAAACAAGCCACCACTACGTTCGATGTGATCTTTCTCACGGGGTACATGGCCACAAATTTGGAAAACCTGTCCAGGACAACCAAGATTGCCATGTTGCCCTGACGGCTCCGGACAAGAGGACCAACGAAATCTATAAAGATACGCTCCATGGGTTTCGTGACGACATGACTATTATGGAGGCCGACCCGTGTATTTTGAGCCGGCTTAGCCCACTGACAAACGTCACACGTCCTAACGTACTTCGTCACGTCAGACCGGATATTCGGCCAATAGAAAACCTTGCAAATCCGCTGAAGGGCTTTTGTCACTCCTAAGTGGGCGCTTAAAGCCGAATCGTGAAAATACTCCAAGAGTATCAACCGCAAATCTAGAGGAACTAAATAAGCCTTAGATTTGTTTCGCGGGGATACATACACAATCGTGTCGTTCAGCAGCCTGAAGTTACGAACCGCCGGATCTTGTCTCTGGACCTTATCATATACATCCCGGCAGAACTCATCCTTAATCTGGTGCTCCCTTATCGATTGAAAGGCGGCCGGCAAATGCTGAAGAACCAACCCGGAGAACAATTGCTCCGGGGTGTCTTCAAATTGCCGGGTCAAACAATCCGCCACCACGTTGCTCTTGCCCGAGATATGCATGGTTTTAAATTTATAGGGGGCAAGTCTCAAAATCCATCTGCCTATCCGGCCAAGTTCTTTTACATGCTTTAATAGCCAGGACAATGCCTGGTTATCAGTATGAAGGGTGAACTCCTTGTGTTCCAGATACACACGAAACCTTTCGCATCCCCAGATCACTGCAAGACATTCCTTTTCCTGAACGGAGTATTTGCGTTCTTGCACCGGTGAGCAGCCGGCTAGCGAAGGCTATAGGAGCTAGCCCCTCCTCGCGCCGTTGGATAAGAACGGCCGAGACGGCCACCTCGCTAGCATCGCATACTAGCACAAACTCCTTCGTGAAATCGGGAACTTGCAGTCTGGGGGGCGTGGAGATGGATGACTTAAGTCGTTCAAACGCCTGCCTCTGAGGCCCATCCCACACGAATGCTGCGTTCTTCCGCTTTAACGCGTGAAGCGGCTCTGCCAACTGCGAAAAGTCTTTAACAAAATTCGCGTATAAACCCACCATTCCGAGAAAACGGCGCACCGCCTTCATATTCTTCGGAGGGGGGAACTGGGAGATCGCCTCAACCCTCTCAGGCAAAATTTTGATCCCTTCAGAAGATAACGAGTGGCCCAAAAACTTTATCTCGGACTGAGCCAACGCTATCTTATCCCTGTTTAAGGTAAACCCAGCCTTCTTGAGATGCCGAAATACTTCCCGCAAATGATCTAAGTGTTCTTCCAAGGAGCGGGAGTATACTACCAGATCGTCCATGAAATTATACACATAAGTGTGTTTCAAGTCGCCGAATAAGGAATCAACAACGCGCGAGAGCACTTGGCACCCTACGCTGATTCCCATGGGCAACTTAGTAAACTCAAAGAGACCGAAGGGTGTAAAAAAAGCAGTGAGCTTCCGGCTCTTAGCAGACAGTGGGATCTGGTAGTATGCGGAGTTGAGATCCAACACCGAAAATACCTTCGCCCCTTGGAAGTTAGCAAAAGCATGCTCCACACTGGGCATTGGGAAAGCATCGAAAACTACTTTCTTATTGAGAAGCCGGTAATCGATAACCATTCTGTACCCGCCCTGAGGTTTCGGAACTAAAAATGCGGGGCTCGCATACTGCGAGAAACTCTTCTTGACCACCCCCTTGTCCAGCAAATCGAATACGATTTCACGCAGCGCCTGCAAACGAGGGGGGGAACACTGATAGGGACGGGAACAAACCGGAATGTCGTCTGTCAGATCTGACAGACCATTCCCTTCACCGTCCCTAATTGATCAGAGAACAAGTTAGAGAAACTCTGTACAAGCTGGTCAAGCTTTCACGACCCCGACACACTCAGGAGGGAGATATGGGCACCCAGTTTCATCAAGGCCCTTTCCGGACAAGGGAAAGTGTGATAATACTCTTCCAGGAAGCATAGAGGTTCGAAATCGTACCGGCAAGATTGCTGAAAGGCAAATGCGTATGACAATGTCGCAAAATCTAGTCGCATCTTGGCAAAAGCTAAGAAATCTGCTCCCAGTATGCACGGCACCGGAGAATCCTCCAAAATTAGGAATTCGTATTTCCAAGAGAATGAATGGAGTTTTATTTGCAGCGAGACTGCCTGAGTGATCGCACAGCTCTGGCCACCAGCCATGCGAAGATTACGATCCGTCGCGTGTACACGACACGACAAGCCGAGGCTATGCATACGGTCTACAACGTCTCGTCTGACAAATGAAAAAGAGGACCCCGAATCCAGAATGGCGGGCAAACAATAATCCCTTACCGTCAAAATAACCCAAGGATTACACTTTACTGGCTTCACTGGGGAAACTCCGAGGTTTTTCACTCAGGCACTCGGACCTCAGACAACCTTTTCTCTACCGAGTGCCTCCGTCGTTTCCCCCGATCCCCTCTCCGACCGAAACGTCGGAAGATGGGCAGTCCTTTTTGAGATGACCTCTACCAGAACACTTCCAACATTTCGCGGAGTTAAGCCCAAATCGACGGGTCTGGCCAACCGCCATACTGACTGGCCGAGACCCACGACTACTTTGCTGAACCATATCAGTAGACCCGCTACGTTCCGCCCGGATCCTCCGCTCTTCAATCGCCCGGCCTTCAGCCACTTGGCCCGCAAGCGCATACAATTCCTTGATGGAAGTTGGCTTGTGCAAAAAAACTAACTGAGAGCGCACATTAGGATGAATATTTTGTACTAGGCGGTCGACTAACGCCGACTCCGGCACGTCATAATCAAGAATATTTGCCGCGGCAACTACCGACATAATATATTTCGACAAATCCTCCGCCACAAAATGAAACCGCTCCAGGACATATTTGGTTAGAAGGCCTTCACGGATACGAGGGGGAAGGAAAGTCGACCGGAGTTCAGAACGAACCACACCCCAATTTGCAGACGCACTTAAATGGCCACTAATTATCTGTGTGAACCTCCCAGTCGTCCTAGCAACCAAGAGAGCCAAAAATTCCTCATCCGTAACAAGACCCAAGTCATAGACTTCGCTTGCCCGGATAAGGAATTGAAGCACCGCCTCCGGTTCCGCATCGGACAAAACTGGGATACCCTTCACCAGATCGGTGACCACTTTAGCCCTCAATTTAATCTGAGAATAAGTAACATGGCCCTGCACACTACTAAGTCTACTATCACTACTCTCTCCTGTGTGCATGGCCACATCAGACTTATCTGCCCTTTGAGGAGGTAGGTAGGTCTCCAGAACTTTCCATTTCTCCTTCACTCGTTTATGTAACTTGTCCAAAGTGCCCTGTACTGGAACACTCAACTCCACCGCCAGTCTCTCGGCCTCTTCTCGCGAAAGATCATGGATCCATTTCAGCGGCATGATGAATGCATGTAACCCACAAATAACGTACTAAGTATTAGATTGCATACTTAAATAACTAACAAGCAAATCCTGCACAATTCCACACAAGGTAGTACAATTGCGCAAATACCGATTTAACAACAGTTAAACCATGCTCTGCTACCATTTCTTCTCTCCTCTCTGCAATGAACCGTTATTTACCCGGACTGTAACCAGTCCGAAATTTCAGGAGAGGGAAAGGGGGAGGAGTTCATTCACTTGTTGTGTGGGAAATACACGCACAAATCGAGAGCTATGCTGACTGAGTTTAACAATTACAATAATATAATAACGAAATAAATATACATTTAACAGTAATAAAGGAAATAAAACATATTATATGAATACAAGAAATGATATTACAAGAAATCTAGCATGACCCACTCCGGTCATTCAAGCCAATACCTTTCTCATGGGGCACCGCCCATTTAATTTCACAAACCAAGGAAAGAGAAAAAAAATAATAATACTCACATTTGTATGTATACTCACAGGGTACCCATGCGTATATATTTATATAACACACCTTTGCCTCGCCATTGCTCAATAGATCGGCAAAGGGGCCCTCTCCCGGGACACACAGCGCTGACTTCCAAAAATAAATCTAATTTTGAAAAAGAAAAGAAACCAAACAGAAATTTCTAAGAGCAGGGACAACCACCCTGCATGACCGCCACCCAGGGAAAGAGAGCGATCGTTCGTGTCATCTTGCCATGACAAGAGGAGGAGGAAGGAAAAAAAAAGAGAGGGGAGGGTCACGTGACATCATTGAAAAGAACTTTACAAGAAATATATGAGCATTGGCTGTGGTTGACTGCAATTCCACGACGCCTTTCACGGGGCGAACCCTTTGAATAGTCTTCAGACGGTTCACATCTTTCTATACCTTCTCATTCACAACCTTTCATTCTCCTTTCAAGTTCATTCTCAGTTTTCCTGATCATCTATGCAGTCGGTTTATTGGCATAAAATTTTGCTCCATTCATGGTCCCCCTACAGCTATAACTTCCATAATTAAGAAGTAAAAGTAAAGGTATCCCTGTGACAGGCTGTGGAAGCCCATAGGGTTGTGAGATGTTGAGGTTCCCAAATTTTCTAAACAGTTGGCTCATAGATGACAGCAAAATTATCAGCCCTACGCACTGGCCACCCTTTACCCCCAAGAATATTCCTGCTACTCGTTTCTGTTAGAGGCTAAGTCGACCCCAGGGCCATAGTGAGGCTGGAAGGATTAGGTCAGTTGAAAGAAATCCAGTGACCTCATCGGGACTTGAACCTGCGACCTTCTGGCTTGTAGAATAGTGCCTCAAGTAACTACGCTACCACGTTCCCCAACTTCCATCATACTACAATAAAAAGGTCGAATTATGGACTGTTGGCCAGATTTACTGTTAAATATCAGATACTTAAATTGGATTGTATAATAATTTTTCCAGTACTGCTAATGTTAAAAAAATATTTGGGGCTGTCATACATGTTATGTTGTTTTGTGGAAAGCTTTTCTATCTTATGGACACATTAAATAGTAAAGGAACATAGGACTTGTATTGTGGCCCACAGGAGAGTGCATTATGTGAAAGGTCTGGAAGTGCAGAAATGGATATCAAGTAAAAATTTCAGCAGCCTGAAAATCTGTGACCAGTGCTGCAGATGGTTGACTATGTATGGCAAGCAGATAATGCCCTGGTCAAGATATTTTTATGGTATTATCGTTTTAATGATGGCCATGAATTGAAGCAGATGCAGGAAGTTATGTATTGTGATCAGTGGAAGATGATTTTAGATAAAGCTTGAATTTTGGTCAGTAGTTGTCACAGTACCTTCAGCAAGAGCTGAAGATGCCACACATTTCAGTCTTTTGTGAGCTCATCAGTGCAGCAGGTGATGATTCAGATTGTCTCCAAAATATTGTCATAGGTGATACAGCCCAGTGTTTCCTATACAGTTTTCATGGTAAATGGCAGTTCTCCAAATGGCCATCATCACTTATATTCTTTTAATTCTGGCAGTATTGATCAAGGGGGAACCTGCAGGGCATTGTGTGCCATAGGTTTATTCTAGAGAGTGTGACTATCAGCCAGGAGATGTTTGCCGTGTGTTTGGAGGCAGTTTTCTTGGAGTGCCTTCCTTGCCTATACTGCAGCAGCTTGACAGGCATGTTGCTTTGCCACCAATCAGACTCTTGTGATATTGCATCATGCAGTTTTTTTCCATTTCACTGGATAAAGGGCTTATGCTTTGTAAACACAGCACAGATTCAAATGGTTTCATCAGTTTCATCATCAAGCATGATAGCTGCAAGAAATATTTGAAAGTACTGTATAAATGCTCACAGAAGTGTGTAACACCTGTGCCTGAGGGCACATATTTTAGATTTGAGATATGAATTCTGTCCCACAATTTTAAAGCTGCCATATATGGTATAAACCAGGGATTCCCAAAGCAGTGCTCAGAATGCATAATCACTTTCATTTCGGTGATAGGGCCAGCTTCCCCCCCCCCAACACATATCATATCTTTATTGCATTCAAAGATCGATCATTGGTACAAGACCACAAGATGTAGAACTTGTCACAGAATATGCTGTGTGCGCACTTTTTCATTTACCCAACTACCATCACTTGACCCACTTACCGGACAAGACTAATGAGCTTGTGACTACATAGTGTGCTTCATGAATTCTTGGGCACAGAAAGATTGGGGACCCCTGGCATAAATATATTTATGCCATCACCCCACAACTACATGACTTAATGTTAAGCACATTAATTGTGTACTTGTGTGGAGATAGTATAAAAAAATATACACTAGATGAAGTTAAGGAAACTGAACCCAGTGTTTTCAGTAATCCCGTAGAGAATAACCAGTCATAAATGTAACACATTAATCAATCAAGTCCATGTTTGCACATGATCTTGTGTACATGTGACTGTTTCCTTATCATATTTACTTGCATTCCAAGATATACTGGTAGGTCGCACCATAGCTCAAGTGGTAAGTTGCTGGCTTCCCACTATGGCGGCCCGGGTTCGATCCCGGGTCTGGTCAAGTGGGATTCGTGGTGGACAAAGTGACGCTGGGGCAGGTTTTCTCCGAGTACTTCGGTTTCCCCTGCCAATCTTCATTCCATCAGTTGCTCCACAATCACCATCACCTATCATCTGGGGCTGGTACAGTAGGCCAGAAGTGGCCGCAGTACAAGGGACTTAGTCCCACCCCACTGGCAATTAAAAAAAAAGATATACTGGTGATGACTTAGAGAAGTATTCTCATTATCAGTCCAGTCAGTAACAACACACAGTGGGTCTAACTAATGTTATATTTTAGTGTCCTGTTGCACTGATTTATGTCCATGATTTATTCTGACCGTCTTACAGTGCATACATTTATTCACCTTACTCTTCTCTCTTGCACTACATGTTTCAGCACTAAAGTGCCATCTTCAGGGCATGCAGTGAAGTAGTCCGACGTACATCGAAAAGCACCTGAAGATGGCACTTTAGTGCTGAAACATGTAGTGCAAGAGAGAAGAGTAAGGTGAATAAATGTATGCACTGTAAGACGGTCAGAATAAATCATAGGTCTAACTGAATTCATGATTGTCACTAGTTTAAAAAATTCAGCTGGTGAACTTAATTTTCTTGGTCAAATAACCAGTCCTCTGTACACTAAGATAGAGTGTAGCATAATCCTGTAGCATTAATTCTGCAATGTATGTTTTAATATGCTCCTGAACACTGAGACTGATATGTATTCAGAGGATGCATGGCCTGGAGACCAGCTGTCCTGACTGAACTTTTTGTGGTTTCATTCCATCCCTCCAGACAAATGTCGATACAGTGCCTCAGATTAGGCCATAACTGCTTCCTTGCATACCCTTTCCAATTCATTGTTTGTTGATCATCCCATCATTTGATGCCATATAGTCTGAGCTGCTGACATTGTCATTAAATAAAGTGTAAATAAATAAAATGTACACTTCTTTTGGATTTAAATACCATGTTTTGACAGTATTTATGCTTTATTTCCAGTCAAGTGCAGCATATGTATTGTTTTATATGCGACGTGACTCTTACGATGAAGAGATGGAACTCAATTAGTAACAAAAGCTGGGCGAGAAACATACATGGTGCCACCATCTTGTGCCTCTCCACAGCTCTTCACATCTATGCTGTGATAGTAACGAGTAAAAAGTGATGTGAATGCAAAGCTACCCTTCCAAGGAACTTGTATGTGTGATTATCATTACATAAGCAGGACTCTGGAGACAGGCAGTAGGTAATAAATGTAACTGCAATTGCTTAAAAAGCTTTTGGGCTTGTTTTTCTTACTGTACCAGTAATTTTATCACGTGTGATGTCTGGTTGATGAACTATATTTCAGACTTGATGCATTCTGTTCTCTATAAATTGACAGTGGATGGAAATATGTTTTGCAGTTGGGATAAGGGAAACAAAATGTAAATTACATGTAGGGACTGTGGGAATGAGCAGTACAAGTGACAAGTCATGGTGTGACTAACCTCTCAGGCCTCTCCCAATATTGTGCCTGCCGCGATACTCCCTGTTGCCCGTCCAAGGATTGAAGCATTGTGTCCATATGGCTTTGAAAGTACTGGATGTATTGAGTTTCCACTTCAGTACTGTTAATGCTGCTGTGTCTGTTACTGTTCCCAGCTCAGTGAGTACTGACATCAGAATTTCATTTTTGGTACTTTATTGCTCATGTTGAGCATAATTAAACAAGTGGTACTTAACATGGATCACAACTACATATTGTATATTTCGGGGCATTGCAAACTGCTCTGGCATAAAATTCACGTGATGTGGAAGGGGTGTATAGTGCTCACTGTGTCTGTTTAGTAAAGGTATAGTTGTGTTTTTCATTGTGACACCAAATATTTTGATGCATGTAGTGCAGTATGTAATAGATATATTTATTTCTCTTTAGTGTTTTCGTGGTTTGTGATTTCTCTGTACCAAAACTTTGTCAGCAGGTGAACTCTAATTGAAATTATTTTCTTTTACTTTCATGGATTTTAATCAACATCCATTAGAACTTTGATTAGAATTTTTTGGCAACAATGTGCAGTATTTGAGAAGTGGTGCAAGATATTGGCTTTCAAGTTACTCTGCTTGCTCTGAGAGCCTGATATTACTCAGGGACGAAAAAAAGTGTAGTGTACTACTTAATGCACACACATCAATTTCAAACGAACTCTCTTGTTTATGATATCCTAGACACACAATTATTTGCAGGTAATTTGCACACCATTATAAGGCTGTTGACATGTATTTAGCCAGCTCTCATTTTTGTAAAGTTTGCAAAATGCTTTGTAAAATCAAGGGACAAAGCATCTTAACAGAGTGGAAATATTCACTATGCTACATTTGGACAATTGTACATCTCTTGAGGTGAGAACTGTTTCTTGGTAAGTGGTGCTGTATATTTACAGATGTATGTGCAGAAGTGAAGGATCTGACTTACTAAAGGACAAACATGTAACTGAAATTTTTCTGCCATGGCCCCCCTCTGAGACAATGTTTTATGCCAACATCTTTGTATCAAACCCAGTTTGAAAATTGAACATGATTTGAATCTCATGCTGTAAAAAAAATAAAGTTATCTCTGCTTCTTTATGTAGTTACACGAAAATGTAAGTACTTGAAGAGAGTGTAATAATTCAGAGAACTGTACCTGAAGTCAACAGCAAACCTATTCTGTTCTGTCTCTCCTTTCGAAGGAATGAGAGCTAATTTATAACATAAATAAGAACACCATCTGCTCACTTCCCTGTTGCAAGGATGTTCGTACAGTAGTAGGAAATAGTTGTTTTACACACTAATTTAAATCATCTTGTAAAAATAAATATGTATAGTTTGTTTCATAATTGCCTTCAGTAATTTTTTGTAGTGGTAATTTTTCTATACTGTATCCAGAATATTATAATACTTCCACTAATTTCAGTGTGATCCTTTCTGTTCTCAACTGTACCCATCCATGTGTACTGATAAATACTTAATCATGATTGGCCATGCACTGCACTATTGTAATGGTGCATATGAGTGGTCCAGTTGGCCAAGCACTGCATTTTTTCAATAATCCCCAATCTGAAATTTGAGTCACTAGCCCCATACTAACAGAGGATTCAGAATCACCTTTCCCCAGATAATAGGGCTGAGGGAGATGACTGGATCCATGAAGTGAAAAATAAATGTAAATGATAAACATACGTGTACACATTTCTTATGCTCTCACAGGAATTCTGAGACATTGAATTTTACACTATTATTCTTTCTCCCACCCTGGTGTTAATGTTTTTCTGGTCAGTGATATACTTGGTATACCTCCATGAACTTCTCCGTTCACTTCAGTTTTTCTAGATCTTACACATTCGGTAGGACTCCTTGGGCAGGTGATCAGCTTGTCACAAGGCCTCTACCTGTACACAAACACAGAAGAATGCGCGCACACAAACTAAACATCCATGCCCTGAGTGGGATTCGAACCCACAATCCCAGTTTCCAAGCGAGCGAAGACAGTACATGCCTTAGGCCGCTCGGCTACCGTGACCGGCTCTAGCATAATTAGAGATGTAAATAAAATGACAATGCTAATCACCCCAGTCCCCAATAAATACAGTGCAGGCCTCAATAAAATAACACACCTTTATTTGGTTATATCTAAGTTGCTCATGTTTCAAATAAATGACAATATGCAATCAACAGTCATCTGCAACTAATTAAGACAGTCTTCATTGTGTGAGACTACAGTAAAACCTTGTTATAACGTGCCTCACTATATCATGGGCCCAGTCATGTCTCCCAAAATAATTCCATTTATTTTCTTTGTAAACAAATTTGGTTCCAATTTTACTATATTTTTTCTTTGTAAACAGCTTTACACACTTGAATATATACTTTAAAAGACACAGTGCCCTTAGGAAGGTAGATAAGTCACCTGTCCGTTCTGACAAAACTTGAAAGTTTCTTCAAACCTGCATTATTACAATCAAAAATATATACAACTTGAGTCTTCTATCAATGAACAAATGTACTGTCTTTCTATAGTGCCATTATTTATTTATTTTCATCAGCACTACTTATGCCATTAAATTTTCTATTTATTTGTGTTCCAAGATTTTTGTCTTTTAGGGCTACCTTTTGCTTCACTAATCCTGATTATTGATTAATCTGGATGACCTATCTGGCCCTCTACTGGTCCCTATCCTGAGCCAGGTCAATCCAGTCCACACCATCCCATCCTACACAAGTTTAATTTNTAGTTATTTTAGTATGTAAAGACAAGGCATGCAATGAATTAGTTTGTCGTGGATTGGATCAGCACCTGAAGATGGCACATTGGTGCCGAAACATGTAGTGAGAGTGAAAAGAGGGGATAAATAAATGTATGCACTAGAAGACGGATAAAATAAATCATGGACTTAAATCAGTGCAACAGGACGCTAAAATATAACAAAGTTTAATTTTAATATTTTCCTCCTAACTAGATCTAGATCTTCCTATAGGTATCTTTCCTTCTGGCTTTCCTACCAAAAGCCTGTATGTATTACTCTTCTCCCTCATGCATGGCTACACGTCCTGCCCATTCATCGTTCTTGACTTGATCATTTTAATTTTACTTGGTGAAGAATATAAGTTATGAAGCTCCTCATTATGCAGTTTTCTCCAATGTCTGCTTTGATTAACATAGAAAACGTTTTCCAGTCATATTGAAACGTATACTGCTCTCACACTCAATGGCTAGCCAACATCTATTATTGAAGAAATATTTATTCATACCCCAAGCTGCTTGATCATCAAATCTCCTGCAGTGTATCACTATGTTCATAAATTCAGTAAAAGTTTCTATAGCTGAACTTTGGTCCTTCCATCATAGACCACCTTTCATGTTTCCAGAACTCTTAACCATTCAAATGTACTACAGACAATTTTTGTAGCCCCAAGAAACTTTCCTGCCTTCACACGGATCAACATAAATGCTACTACTGTTGCGGTGTCTTGGTTTATTCAACGATGCTTACAACTGCTGATATTAGTAAGTATTTCATCTGTTGCTTTATTAAGAGTGCATTGAAAGACAAACATAAAATTTACTTACTCTGCATGAAGAATGACCTCCTCTATAATAAGGACAGAGTGTCGGCAGCTTCACAAATTCCATTTGACTGTAGTCTTGCAGTATATTTCATATGGGATGCTTAATGACTCCATGTCAGAGCTTAGGGTAAGGGTGCCAAAATATATTCTTTACTTCTTTCTGTTCATTAGACATGATGATAAATCATTCTCATTAAATGTTTGATATATTCAGACAAAGGATAAATATGTACAAATTGGTAATCTTCATTAACTCATCTGTGGCGAGAGGGCAACCATATCCCTGGAGTCCTAACCCAAGCATAATTCATTATGCACAGGAAAGCAGTACTGTTTCGATTCAAAACATGGATTTTGCCCCCCCCCCCCCAAAAAAAAAGCAACGAGGTACTAAATGTTAGGCAAATAAAATTTCTGACAAAAATGTGTGGACTTTTCAAGAAGGAACCACACGGTGAATAGGGAAACCAGCATCATGAGATACAGTAACAGTTGAGGAACCACTTGATGAGACTGGACAAAACTTCCTAAGACAGCAAATTATTATATATCTCAGTGGAGGACTGAGGTAAGGCCATGCCATAGCTCAAGTGGTTAGTTGCTGGCTGCCCACTGCGGCAGTCCAGGTTTGTTCCTGGGTCTGGTCAAGTGGGATTTGTGGTGGACAAAGTGGTACTGGGGCAGGTTTTCCTCCGAGTACTTTGGTTTCCCCTGCCCATCTTCATTCCACCAACTGCTCCACAATCACCCTCACCTATCATCTGGGGCTGGTAACAATAAGCCAGAAGTGGCCACAGTGCAAGGAACTTAGTCCCACCCCACTAGTAATTAAAAAAAAAAAGGACAGTTGGGAAAACAAAGGCAGAACTGGGTTAGTTCAACTTTCAGTACTGAAATGGGTGCAGCATGAACTATCCTTGTATGAGGCATGGGAGAGGGGTAGCAGGCACCTATTCATGTGGATAGCAGACAATAGGGTAGCACTTAATCATGTAAGGACTGTCCCTTGCTGCACATACAGTAATATAGTATTTCATATAAAATAAGCATGCATAAGTTCACTAATTTTGTGTGTGTAAACATATTTAATAATTTTACCATCCATATGACATGGTAAATTCTAATGTATGGTAATAATATTTTTAAATACTTTATATATGAAACATCTTACATTTGGCTTCAGTCAAATTTCTTTTATGTTACTACAGCTGTATATCAAAATTCATTTATTAATGTGTGAGATGCTGTGCTGACAAGTGTTCCTAGGTCTTGTAACCAACTGTAAGAAAAACAATCATATTAGCAAAGTAATCTTACTGATGGAATCTGGTGATATCTCAATCCATTACTTCTCATATTCATTAATGTTAAATTCTGGAGGTCTACACTGACTGTATGGAACACATTTAATTTAAAGGATGTCATTGATATAGAACATTGTGCTATAAAAACGCAGGGTTAAATCTGAAGGAAAGTCACATATGTGTCATACGAAGGTCACAAGTTTCCATGAAGTTCGTAAAACCCTGGGTCCCACAGGATGAGCTAACCTCATTCACTTGGCTGGAACTTAGCTGTATTTAAGATAACCTACAGAATAGGTTTCTCCCCTTCACCTGAGGACAGAGACAATGGACGAAGTCTGAAAACCCAGTAATTCCGTATGTTCATCGTCAGAACCGTATAGAATCTAAGCAAGTTCTACTTTTCGTAATGGTTTTCAGGTATATTAAGTAAATATGCGACAATTCCCTTGCATCTTAAACTTTTGAGATCTGAGCTCACAAAGCAAGTTTACTTGAGGCTGGGATGCAGTTCCAAATCAAACACACTGTTCCTTCTTATGACAAAGCACTCCAGTACTGTGGCTTGTTTTGAGGGCTCCACCATGTACTATCAAAGCTCAAATTACACGAAACTGCAGAGGAATTTAAGGTTACACATTCTCTCTTCTCACTTTTTTTTTATTGCCTGTATCTCTATAGTAATGCTGTCTTGCCATTTTTCTTCTTCAGGATTTTGCAATATGAAACGTTACGTCCTCGAGTACATGAATTCTTGCCGTTCTTGCTATATGTTTAGCCAATTTTAATTTAGGACACAGCAACATCCACTAACGAGCTAACGATACCCCCGAAACACAACCGTTACGGTCATGGGGGTTAGGGGCAGGGGAATGCAACTCAATGCTATTGGCGGGCAACACAGCCACTGCTCCTGCGGTGTCCGGCGGACACTCTCTTGATAAAAAAAAGGCTGCCGCCAGTGCCGAGGGCTCGGTCGGTAAGAAGGTATGCTATCATATCACCTACCCTGTCGGTAAGAAAGTATCCTATTATACCACCAGCATTTTTTTACTGCTCCCTCCCAAAAAATCACTGGTTCACACGTATAGCTAGAATTAATAATCGATGTAAATGAAATGTCCATATTTTACAGGCACTGGTGGGAAACTTTCTCCAGATAAATAATGTTGCAACCTGATATCTTGTACTGCAGAGGTTCTTACTCCACTGTGTGTTTTCTGTTTTCGAACTGAGTATAACATCACTTCGCTCAAAACCATCTGGAGGAGAATGAGTTAAATGATATCAAACTCAGTTCAAAAACAGAAAACACACAACAGAGTAAGAACCTCTGCAGTACAAGATATCAGGTTGCAACATTATTTATCGGAAGAAAGTTTCTCACCAGTGCCTGTAAAATAAGAACATTTCATTTACATCAATTCAACACCCCCTTACTGAAATGCAATGGATATTTGAACTAT